TTAAAATAACACGTCAAAGATTTTCATTTTTAGAAATCATTCGAGGTATGTATGCCAGTTGTGCTGCACATTCCGTACAATTTCTATACTAATAAAGAACAAAATTTTTTTCACCGTTACGATAAATTCTGCATTTCACCTATTACTATAGTTGTGCACAATCCGTAAAAACTTTCTAAAATCCATGTCTAACGTTCACTTATGATTGCATTAATGCGAATTTGAAAAATGTTTCAGCAGGTGTCTGAAAAAAAAAATACTTGTGTGTTCGCGACTTAAAAAGTATGAACAAAAATTGATATATCACCATGAAATACATCTCGAAGCTAATAAAACTTATAATAGCCGTTAAAAATTACTTTCTCCAAACGTTTATACGATTTACTAGTACTTAACAGATACCAAGCGCGCCGTTTTATAAATTTTCGTGAAATTGTAACGATTAGAAATCGCTTGACGCAATCTGGCGAAACATCTCTCTCTCTCTGGCGAATCAATATGTATTACAGAAATAAAACAATGTTGCATATAATATTTCTCTTCTCGACACTTTATAATTGACTCTATTTTCTACTGTTATCTGCAATTTATCATTCCTCGTATCGCCGACAGTCTTTTCACGACACAACCACATTACTCACGATCTACCGACACATAAACAAACGTTAGGTGCACTTATCGAAACCTAAAATCAACCGATCAAGAACGATATCGCGCGATTTCTAAAAGAACACCAGAACGAATAAAACAAAAGAAGAAACGCCGCGTCTTATTGATTCAATTTACTTTTGCAGATGATGGTACACCTACCAGGTCTGAACGGCAAACTGATTGAAACAGCAGAACTTTCCTGGGCGTTGCGCACTTGAAAACCGCGAAAGAATGACTCGCGGGAGCGTGAGTCCGCTTTTACTGCTCAGGCAGGCGTAGTTTTGCGCGTTACCGCATTACGTCACCTTTGTCTTCTTTTTTTGCCAATGAGTCTGCTCTCCTCTCGCGACTGGATTACGATCAAGGACTGTCTGTTATGGGGACTCAATTTACGACTCGCTTGAAGAACCCGAAACTGGTCATTCAAGTAAACCGGCCAGTATTTAAAATCGTTTATTCCTTTCAGTTCGGACTACCGAGTGTTTCTTCTGGCAATAACGACCTTGAACCACAAACGTGTGATTTATTCGATCCTTTTGCGAGAAAAAATGGTCTCTTATCAAATTTTATATTTCGCATAAGCAACACATCTGTTTTGGCACAATTTGCGCTCTTCGTGTTATGAACATTTTGCAATATGTTTAAGATTATGAAAGTTTAAGAAATTCGTACTCTTTACGCCAATTTTCCCGTTATTTATCGATAAAGTACTATGAAAAACTTCGCGAAATGAAATTTTATGTAATTTCATTGTCCGTTTTTGGCAGCAAGAAATTTAATTGGGCATTATTCTATTCATACAGTGACCTCGAAATTTGAAGTAAACGTAATTATTTGAAATTCCTCGTACTCGCATGGTGGAAAATCCTCAGTACGAGGATTTACTTAGACAGACATTTTACTAATAGTATTTTTCTGTTGTGTACTAAATGAGTTAAGAGTTGCGGTAATTATTTCCTTCGATGTTTAGGATCAAAAGTCGTGTAGAGGATATAAGAAAAAGATGTCTGTCGTAATTGTATATAAAGAGGTAAAAGAAAACAAGTAAGTCTTAAGTTAACAGGTTAACACAGTTTCACTTCAGTGTGAACATTTACGAAGGTGACAGTGGTATGTTAAATTATGTTTGTATTTCGTACGAATAACGTTATTAAAGGAAATAGGTTCACAAATGCATTTTATTTCAAAGTGAGCGTTGTTAGTTTCTATTAGAAAATTTACGATGTGTTGTAGTGATCGTGTCTCTCCTACATTTTTTTTTCTTCTATATAACATCAGCGATCAGAATTGGATTCTTTAGGCTGATACGATAGCGCAAGACCCAAACATTAGAGTCCTATTAGAGTTTCCTGTATCAGATAAAATAAGTAAAGAATATTTTTCGAGTAACTACCTACACACTGGAGAAGAAATTGGACATTTGATTTTTGTTTCATCTTGGAATTTTATACCTGATGCTGTGCATTTAGGATAAAAACTTGGACAAACATGACTCTTTTGTTCTCTAAATTACAAGTGTTCCGTGACATAGCATTTTGTTACAATAACTTGTAAGATTATTGAAGCGTGAATACTCCTTTTCTTATTGCAATTAGAAAACAATGTTAGAGAAAAAAGACGAATGATTCAAAGAGGACTGTATCTTTTTTTTTCTCGCAAGTGCAACGATGCGTGTACATTTTACAGTTGTACCACTTTTTTTAAATGGAAATGTACATTCTTTTGCAAAGACCAATTCTCTCGTCTCTTTAAAAGTATTGGGGTAAAGTGGTTAGAAAATGATCAGTTCTTCAGATATTTTAAATGAACGTCTTCCTTAAAGAAGCTCGAACGCTTCATCGTTTACAACATTGGAGCCTTCTTTGAACGATTAACCTTTTTCCTCTAACATTTTTTTCTAATTGTGTTAGACTAGAGGAAGATCTCTAGGTTACCGACGCTCGGGCGCCCAGATGGTCTGCGGCGTCTCGTGGAACGCCTCGGTTGACCGTTCAATTGTTCTCGGAGAGAGTCGTGCGTTGCACGTTTTATACATCGTGTAGTGGACGATCGTTTGCAATAAATGCCTGTGTTTGTGTTATCACCGAACACAAAATACTTAACAAATTGCAATCAGAAAAGGTACGACCTGCAACGTTGCAATGGAATCCCCTTTGAACTGTTTACCTTTTTTCTCTAACATTTCTTTCTAACTGCAATCAAGAAAAGTACATACATATGACTTGTTCCAGTTGCATGGACCACGCTGTACACTCGGTACGGTAGATTAACTTCGGATTCTCGATATGAAAATCACCACAAATATTCTCTAGTATTTTATCACAAACTAAAAAATAAAAATACCTTGCTTCTTTCTTCTTTAAGGCAAACAGAATAAACTCCTACTAATTTATTACTAAAGCAGGGCCGTGTTTATACTTTTGGAAACCCTAGGCGCAACGTCAAGCCTTAAATAAATGTGGCGTTTCGTTTCGGAACGAATTTTAATATTGATAAATTTAAAAATAAGTATTTTATTTTACAACTATAACTAGGCTGTTTTTTGTATTGTTCTTTGCGAGGAGTAAGGTTTTACTGAGTACGTAAAATATCATACAGGGTGTCCCGTAACTGATGGTACAAACGAGCAGGGGGCGATTCGACGTGAAAAACTGGATCGAGGTTGTAGAATAAAATTTTTTCATAAGAAGCTTTCTTTTCGAGAAAAAGAAGTTTGAAAATTTGTCGAGTACGCGTGCTCTCGGCTTTACGTTTGTACTAATAAACGATACTAATTTTATGAAACGTATCGATAATACATTTATCAACGATTTCTTTAATTTAAATTCACATTACTAATCGAATTGTTGAAAGTGACGTCTGTTAACGCATACAAAT